CTTGGCCCATGCAGATAGATGGGACAGACAATTATTTCTTTTATGTGCGTTTTAAGCTAATTCAGAAAATTTCTACTATTATTCAAGTTAACAAGCTTCAGGGTCCTGGGAGGGTTTTCAAAGACCTGCTGAAAGTAGCTGAGAGTTAAGAAATGATAGGGCGAAAATAGAGGGTACTATACAGATGGCTAATTAACATCTTGTAAGACCTTTCACTAAAGCAGCTGCTCTAGTCACATGCTTAAAAGATTCTTGCAGAATTTTTAGAATTGAAAGGGTTTTTAGAGAGCATCTAGCTCAACCCCCTCATTTTATGGATGGGAAAACTGAGACCCAGTTAATTGCCCCAGGTCACACAGTAGATTCACTGCAGAACCAGGATGGCAATTCAGTGTGTTTTGCTTCCCGTTCAAGGTTACTAAATTTGCTCCTAAAAATCACAAATTAAAGGAGTTTTCCCAATAGACTAGCAACGGACAATATCTCTATTTCCTTAAGATTTCTTTAAACATGCAAAATATCTAGCAAACAGTTTACTACAGCAAGTTGTTTAGCAATAATATCACTTCATAGCTGTTATATCGTTTTTACTATGTAATTCAGAAATGTATTTGACATGGCATCTCTAATCACCTTAACCCATCTGGGTCCTTAACTGTGCTTCTTTTAAAAACAACTAGTCGTTCACAAAATGCCAGACATTTGGGGGTGGGTCTTTATGCCATGGTTCCAAAACATGGATTATGCCCCACTTCTACTATTTCTATTCCCTCTGCCAGACAATTTTCCCCAACCCCTCTGAACTGAGAATGTGATTAGCATATTCATGAGACAACTGATTCAGCTATGTTAATTAGCAGTTCTACTACCAAAAACAATTCCCAGAACTGGCCAAGAGGGGGCGCAGCTAGCTCTGTCACTATCATGCTCTGGCTCTATGTCTTCAGCCTAGGATGGTAGATTTCCGGTACTGAACATCCTAAGATAAATAGTAGATTAAAAAAAAAATTACAGTACGGAAAAATACAGAGGTGAGTCCTTAAACTCAGAGGCACATAATTAAAATATGGGGAACCTGAGAATTTTGTTGGGGTGGGGATGGGTGGTCTGTGATTTCAGACCTTGTATTTCACCCAGGTCTGAAGGAACGAGAAACACACACACACACACACACAGTTTTTAACTTAAAAACTGGGCTGGGCAAGGTGGGGCACACCTGTAATTCTAATACCCTAACATTTTGGGAGGCTGAGGCAGAAGGATTGCTTGCTCAAGGCTAAGAATTTGAGACCAGCTTGGGCAATATAGCAAGATCCTGTCTCTACAAAAAATTATAAAAATTAGCTAGGCATGGTGACATGGGCCTGTACAAGTCCCAGCTACTTAGGAGGCTGAGTGAGGCAAGAGGATCACTTGAGCCCCAGGAGTTGGAGGTTGCAGTGAACTATGATGACACCACTGCATTCTAGTCCAAGCAACAGAGTTAGACCATGTCTCAAAAAAGCGTGGTGGCTCATGCCTGCCTATAATCCTACCACTCTGGGAGGCCGAGGCGGGCGGATGTTTGAGCTCCGGGAGTTCAAGAACAGCCTGAGTAAGAGCAAGACCCCGTCTCTACTAAAAAAAAGAAAGAAAGAAAGAGAGAGAGAGAGAGAGAGAGAGAGAGAGAGAAAGAAAAGAAAGAAAGAAAGAAAGAAAGAAAGAAAGAAAGAAAGAAAGAAAGAAAGAAAGAAAGAAAGAAAGAAAGAAATTAGCTAGACAACTAAAAATATAAAAAATTATATTTTTTATATTTAAAAAATAAAAAATTAGCCAGGCATGGTGGCGTATGCCTGTAGTCCCAGCTACTTTGGAGGCCAAGGCAGTAGGATCCCTTGAGCCCAGGAGTTTGAGGTTACTGTGAGCTAGGCTGACGTTATAGCACTTGAGCCCCAGGCAACAGAGTGAGACTCTGTCTCAAAAATAAAATAAAAGATAAGAATTGATTTATAGACGGTATAGTCTCTTGAGATATGCAAACAGTAGAAAATTAAAAGCACGTAACAAAAAAGGACCTTAGAGACAAGAGAACTAGAGAAAGGATGTATTCCTTAAATCTGATTACTCCAAAATGCCAGAGCTAGCACTAGAACCCTGACAAATCAAGGTAGAATGATGGAAAACTGGGATAACAGGATAATTTCTGATAATAGAAGGCTAACTCCCTACAAGCTCCCAAACTTTATTAAAAAGTTTTTGTAAAAAAGTAATTGTTCCTGCCTTAGAAAGAAGCAGTATCTCATGGACATAGGCAAGTTTTGATGATAGAGGAAATTGCCTGGGGTTAGGGTAACCACTCTGAATTTGCTCTAAAAGTTGGAGATGACAAAAGGTCTTCTTCTACAGTTGCTTGACCCAGAATATTTCTATGAGTCCTTTGCTATTTCCTCATTTCATGTCCCTAGTTGTCTTTGTATAACCTCGTTGCTACATCTTGGTTCCCTGTTCTCAGTCACCATCTTGTTACTCAGCTCAACTTTCTTCCATTCACATCGAAGACCCAGGGTTTGGCTTTTATAATAGTTTGGATAATTCTTTGACCAAAGCACCCACCCTTGGATTTCTTAGAGTCAATATACCCCCTTACAGCACTTTATTCAACATCCCTGGATTATTAGGCCTTCAAAGTGTTAGAAGATCTTAACTGACCACCTTAAAAATCAGTCAATCAATGCAGCATCCGCTAGAAGATTATAGTTTGTTGGGTACCAGTCAACTGAGATTTTGCCATATAAAATTATTTCAGCATTTCAGACAACCTAATTTGGAGAAAATGTGCACAAAGTATTCTAACTCTGTTCTGATCTCCAGACCAAATCCATTTTAGCTACTTCTTCAAAAAAATTAATCTATGCTAACTATTATCTATGCCAAATTTTAATTAGAAGTCATAAGAAACAAACTGGAGTTTCATAATCATTTTTCTTGATACATTTTGAAACTGAAAAAGGCACAGAGTCACATATTTATTGAATGTGAAGCCTGGTAGGGAAGGGCAAAAGAAACTGTTCTTCTGTCCTTTTTAAAAAACATATGTTAACACTTACTGATAAAGTTTCTCTGCATGGCTTTAAAAAAAACTACACATTGGAATCATAGGGGTAGTACTATAAAACCATGGGGAGCAAAAAGGGGAAAGAATAGCTAAACCAGCAGGCCTGTAGGCAATGATTATGGGCTCCATGCCAGGAAGAGACAAGTCTAACAAGGAATGGAGTGACTTGGAGGAGATAGCCTTAGAACTTAGAAACAGCTTTATCTCCACTGCATCATGCTGCCAAGAGCCGTTTCTAAAGAGCGGAATTTTTTTCCTTCTAAATTCCACTATGAAGCCCCTAAGTGGTAATTTTTAAATATCAGCATCTTAAGTTTTCAAAGATGACCATCTAATTATCTTTCTAAGTTTTCTCCCAAAAGTAAAAGAAAATACTTAGGTTATTATCATGAATGAGAAATGCCACAGTCAAGGAAATACCACTCTTTTCAATAATAGTAATTTAGTGATCAAGATAGACAGGTGGTCTAATGATGTATTCTGCCAGTAACACTCATTTTCACGTAGTGTTAACATACTGTTAAATACTCTTAACAGTTATAGCATATGTGTAGGGGGGTATGGGGTAATAAGGGGGATATAGAGATATATAAATTTTTACCATCCATCCATCCATCCATCCATCCATCCATCCATCCATCCATCCATCCATCCATCCAAGTAAAGGAGATAGAATTAAGACACAACTTTGCATGCAATGTGTTTGAAAAATGGGTAGGATCAATGGTATAAGACATAAACAGTGTTTTAGTTCAACTACATTACAAAGTAAATATAATTCGTAGTCTAGCCTGAAAACCTAACTTATTAAATTGGTTATAAGTTTGAAATAATAAATCCCAAAGCCAAACATTTGAAATACAACCTGTTCTTTAGCTGGGGACTGCCTTATCAGCTACATCAAATCTAATTTAGTCTAACTTCTCACCATGGTAACAAGCCCTTTGCAGAAATAGTCAAAGACATTTCATATCTAGAAAATTTGCCTTGTACTTCTTCACCACACATAATGTCAAGAAAAGCATCCTTCAAAGGTACTATGTAATTAGAATGGCCTTTAAAACAGGCACAAAGGAAATCATTCCTATTAAAACTAAATCTACTTCATAACAATCTTCAAACTGAGTGAACAGCAACAGAGAAAGGAATCCTGAGGTGCTTTGGACCCCACATTCTATTTTTTTAAAGTCTGTTATCTGTAACATTGCGTCAGACAGGATTGAAGTGTCTCTCATTTGGCTTATATTGGCTATTTCTTCACGATTAAAAGAAAGTGTGCATGTGAGAAACCATGTCTGGCTCAGGGGATTAAATTGGGTTCTGTCCTGGCTTTTATATGAAAAGACTACGCCAGAGCCCAAGCTCAAATAAGGCTGAGGATGGAGCCCAGCATAATGAAGACTATAGCATAGTAGCCACTTCTGGGTCACTGCAGTATGGACACTCAAGACCTGAGCTTTAATTCTGTCTGTGTTCTAGGAATTCTAGTTGTCTTTGGGGATCCATTTCGAAATTTAATTTGAAGTCCTGCATCTGTAAAATCTCTCTTGTTATTTCGACTAAGACAGTTTTCAGATGCCTGCTTTTTATTAGGAAGCCTTTTTTTTTTTTTAAGGAACTTGCGTCAACAACACTATTCTGTGTTCACCCAAGAAAATAAATGAAAGCATTTAAATTAAAGTAATCTATTTTTTGTCTTCTTGTGACCATATTTCCTTAATGCCTACCATACAGATTCTAGTGCATCCAGAAGGATGTAGCACTAAAGCTGCAGGGCAAACTTGCCCCCGATATCCAACAATAACATCCTGAGAGAAAACTCAAGCGCTAAGGGAACAGGGAAGCCCTGAAAAAGCTATTGTATGAACTTAACTGTCAGCTCTTAAATGTGACTTGAATAACATACCATCAAACTTCTTGTACCGAGAAGCAAAGACAGCTTGCAATTCATTGTACTGTTCGCCGACCACACTTTTGAAATCCTCTTTACTTTGCAGGCTATACTTTTCCTCCATCACTTGAGAGCAGCAGGTATAACCCTGGGGACAGATCTTCAAATGGTCACCTGGAAGATAAAAAGTAGAATGGTCAATCTCTATTATCATTCATCAAGTCCAAGAAGGCAGTGTTTGATTTAGGTGCACACACACTCTGTTTCATTTCAGCCTTCCAAGGCTCTTGCAAAAGGCCCAGGCAGCATGTGTATCTAACAAGATTTTGAAGCCAAAACAAAATTTTATTCCCTTCTTGAAAAAATAAAATAATAAAGCCTCCTCCAAAAGGCAAAATAACTTTCTAATCAGGGAGATAGATAAACCACAGGAAAATTGGTGGGACCAACAAATGAAGTAGCATTCAGTATCAAATAGTCTCTTTTATAAATTCTCTCAGATACTATACTAAATACTGTACAAGTCATGTGAATGATACATACTTTTTCCAGATTAGGGAGTTTATGTTCCAAGAGTGACTATCCTTAATGAAGAATGATTTATAAAACATGTGCCAACAATCAAAAACTGAGCAAATGTATGTGCAATAGTTACACTGTGGGGAAGCAAGGGATTCCTGCATTTCAAGGGGTTGTCAGCAAAGAAGGAACTATGGGAGTTCATGCTGGATAATCTGAGTCTATGATAAATCACCAAGAGCTAATGGTAAACAATCCTCGATTTCTATCCAGTTGTCTTCTGTGCAGATGTCAGGGACTTTATCTACCTTATGATGCTGTATGGTGTAGCCACTCATCCCAGCATAGACTAACAGTTTCCGATCAATGTAATCTTTATATCGTGATGCAGCCCTAAGAATCAAGGCAAATGTCAAAGACATACCACTCTACAGCAGCCCAAGCCACAAAGTATCTCCCTCCCTGACAGTAACTGCATTCTGCTTACAGCTTAGAGGTGAGGGTTTAGCGGGGTCCTTTCTATAAGCCCTACGACCCCACCACCTTGTTCCTCTTCTGTCACAGAAAAAAAATTGTGCTTTGAAGAGACAATTCCCCTTCCCTCATAATGACCAAGAGATGTGGTACCACTCAAAAATAAATCCCATTAGGTACTACCACTTTAGTTGCTCCAATATTAGTGTGGTATAATTTTGTATACATGTTTACAAGGATTGCACTGTTTCTTCTGCTATTGTTGTTCATGTTCCATGTAAAACAAAAGGGGACTGGAAAGAGTCAAGATCTCAGAAACTCAGGAATGAATATGTTGAAGACATATGAATCTGTCAATGGTGAGTGTGTCCAATAGACAAAGTGCGGGGGAGTGAAAAGCAAATCTTTCTAAGAACACTAATCATGGGTAAAGCAATGGGCTGTGAGCTGGCCATTGACAGAAAATAGGCCTTTACCTAACATAGACACCAAGGTAGCTTTGGGATATGGCAGTAGTTCAGATGAAACTGAGTTGCCAATTTATTTGACTGACTTATTTGACTAACACTAGATTGTCAACTGCACATATGCAAATAATTACATAATCATATATGTTCTCGATCATCCTTGCTTCCTGGCAATTAAAAAATAGGGAGAGTGTGATTACCAGGAAAAAGGGGGTATGCATCATTAAAAGACCATGTAAGGAGGGGAGAAAGGGCAAATAACTTCCTCATCCAGAAACGGCTGAAAGTTTCCTTAGACATATCTGATAATTCTACCAACAGAAAAAAAAGGAGATAAAAAGATTGTGTAGTAGAGTTCGACCTGTGAGAAACTGCAGAATATCTTAGATCTCATTAGTGAAAAAGAAGGATTGCTAAAGCTGTTTTATGGAAACACCTTTGTTACAACCAAAAAAAAAAAAAAAAAAAAAACCCCTCCTTCTTCACTGGCTTAACAAGTTCACAGCAGTCCCTTGGTACTGGGACATATAATTAACAGAGAGAGATTCAGTTGTCTCCTGGTTTCAGGGTTGAGGGTTTCCTCCATTATGATCTTAACACAATATGAAGGACCCCAAATAGTATAGTGCTATAGCTCTATTAAATAATACACATCACACTCACACCCCCTATAGAAAATGAATTGGAGGCCGGGCATGGTGGCTCACGCCTGTAATCCTAGCTCTTGGGAGGCCGAGGCGGGTGGATTGCTCAAGGTCAGGAGTTCAAAACCAGCCTGAGCAAGAGCGAGACTCCGTTTCTACTATAAATAGAAAGAAATCAGTTGGCCAACTGATATATACATAAAAAATTAGCCGGGCATGGTGGCGCATGCCTGTAGTCCGTCCCAGCTACTCGGGAGGCTGAGGCAGAAGGATTACTCGAGCCCAGGAGTTTGAGGTTGCTGTGAGCTAGGCTGACGCCATGGCACTCACTCTAGCCTGGGCAACAAAGCGAGACTCTGTCTAAAAAAAAAAAAAAAGAAAATGAATTGGAATGTTTAGAATGAGAACACATAAGGCTATTTAAGTGAATTGCTTCACAATAAGGGAGCTGATATTTTTAAAAGTTTGTCACAGGCTAAAATTCATCATAGGGTAGGCTGTTTTTCAAGCCCCTGTAAAGATTCCATTGTGGTATGCATAAATTTCCAAGGCAAAACAATTTATGAGTTTGGAAAACAAATTATGTTCACCTAATCTTTACAGGGTTCATATATTATTAATAAAGGGTCACTTACTAGATCAAAATGGGCATTTAAGTTCAAGGAAAAGCATCCTTTTCCCCCACCCCCAATGCACATGTGTGTGAGCACACATGCACATGTGCACACACACTCTCTGAAGCAAGAAAATACTAATATACAGCAAGAAAAAATAATTTTCTCCATTGAAGAAGTTGCTAGACTTTGAGAGGTTTAAATTTGCCCACAGGAAATTTACAATAAGTAAGGATACACTCTTCAAAAATGTGTAGCAGCAATAAAAGTTTTACTGGTAACCTGCTGGAAGCAGACAGCACCACTTACACTGGCACACATAAAGGCCCAGCACAGCCCATGCACTCCAGTCATCTCACATCCACCAGGGGCCCTCAGCAGGACCTATAGAGACCTGTTCATACTGGAACACTGGAGTACATCTATGTTTTGGAGATATCCAATAAAAAACAAATAGTGCACTTTCATCTTAGACAGGAGATCTTTCCAGGAGGACTTTTCTGATGGTGAAAGGCTTGCCTTGTGTCAAGGGTGACAACAGGAGAGACTCCTAGCTAATGTTTCTGCTGGCAAAGTCGATTTCCCCTCAGTGCAAAGTTCCCACTCCAACATGCTACTACTTTTGGCCATATAGTCCTGAATGTACCACTTGTCCTGTTTGCATTTCTTTTTTTTTTCTTTTTTTTTTCTTCATATATAAAACTGAACTGTAACTGTTTGCATTTCTTAAAAGCATTACTTGAAAATGTAATTTGACATTCTTGCCAAAAGTCCTGAGATACATGCAGTCCAAGACACACTTGTGAATTAAACCCCAAGACATACTTGGGCTATTGGGGATTCAGTGCCATAACCAGTTAGTGCTGAGAAGTACAGGGAGGAAAAAAGGGAAAGTCTTGGCATATGTGAAAATAGAATTATAGCTCCACATTCTGGTAAGAATCTCTGTGAATTAAGCAACTCATTTGGTTTTTAAAAAAAATTAGAAGTATTCTACTTTAACCACATTCTGGTAAGAATCTCTGCGAATCAAGCAACTCATTTGGTTTTTTAAAAAATTAGAAGTATTCTACTTTAAGTACCAAAAATGATTTCTTTTGAAAGCCAGGGTATAGATATTATTTGAAAGCCATTCTGTTTTATGTGTTTGTGGCTGTTTCCAAAATACTGTGCCTGAATGAGAAATGTCTTTCTTTCTGGAGATCTCCTTTCTAGACCTGGCGATCCTATTATATACATCTCATTTAAGAAAATTGCCACAATTTTTCCTTTAGGCTGAGAGCTGAACACAGGGACAACTGAATCGATATGGGACAGGTAGGCAGTAACTGTGGGGGTAGCATTAGATATGTACACTTTTTTAAAAGGGCCCTAGGTGATTCTGATACATCCCTATCATTAGGAATTATTGCTAGAAAGTCTTCAGGATTCCAGCTGCAGAAGATTCAGGATTGGCAGTTGACCAGTTCATCCACTAGCCTAGTGAAGAGTATGTTATGATCTATAAATTGTCATTTGTCTCCTGTTTCCCTAAATCAATCTCCTGCTTTTGTGACCCTTGACATATATAGCTTCTCTACTTTTCTTTTCTAGTCCTTTAAAACGCTCCTGTCTGCTTTCCACTCTTTTTACTCTACCCATATAATAGTTTCTTACCCCACCCCACTTCTTTAACTGCACATAACATAAAACTGAAGAGTTTTTTTATTTGTTGTACTTGTTGAGAGTTCCTTGTTCTTAATTTAAAAAGCAGGTGAATTGAATGCTTTATGGTTTTCTAAGGAAGCACCTAAATTAAGTTGCTTTTTGTACATGGCCCTTGATTAGTTTTTTTCTTTGTGGGTCAGTGGCCCTCAATAGAAAAAAGGTCCCCCGGCCCTGTCCTAGGAGGCTTGGATGGGATTCAATGAAGCGTGCTTTTAAAGCTTAACTCTATGGCATTAAAAACAAAAAAATCACTCGAAAGAGCCAAACTTTTTTCAATCACACCAGCTCTATGTAATTTCTCTTTAGTCTTAATATCAATGCCTTAGTTTTCAAAGCTGAACAAAGACAATCACAATAAATTACTCTCAATCCTGCCGAGTGTGTATTGGTTCCTTTTTTTTTTTTGAAGCACTTCAAATCAATGGTTAAAGAAGTAGGCATTGAATATGGGGAATCTGCTCCATCATTTAACAACGCTCTGGTGTGAACAATCTGTAAAACTGTGCTTTCTCACTTTATCTCATTTACTCGTCTCACCAAATGCTGGCTCTGTTGTAAGAATGGGTGTACGGCTAATATGCATTTATTTTCAGTTGCTCAAAACTCAGCTTCCCATAGAAAATGTTATAAATGGTAGTTAGGTTCTCGGGCCAGCCCTCAGCTTATTTCCTACTAACTTGACTATTTTCAACTATATGTAACAACCATTTTCTACATCTGTCTCAGAAAATTCATTCTGAAATCCAACT